TCTCAATTTCTCTATATCTTCCCCTGGTTCAAGCTGTCAAATATATACAAGTATGTACCAACAAGCTCCACTATCAACCGTTACTCAGTTTCTTTCTAGTTATTTGAGCCCCTCCTTCCTACGCATTCAATCAATGGCCCCGCAGACTCTAAGCCATCTTATTGCCACCACCACGTGCCAAGGTAGGCTACTAGCACGTAGCATCAACAAGAATATCATCCTAGATGATGTAAGGCAAGTCTTCGGCCTTATAGCTCCGTCGCAGGGACATGCTATGCGAGTAAGCAAGATCCTCAGGTCAGAGACTTGGCGACAACAACGTCTCCTCACAGATTTTCTACGTGCCAAGTGTCCCCACTACAATGTTTTTATTAACCACCTGACTATCGCAAGGCATTCAACAGAGACCATGTGGACAACACAGTATCTCCCATATTTCAAGGAGCACCTGGCAAGGAAGGACAAGGAACATCCAAAAAGACAGGCCCTTCAAGTCATCGGAGATATCAGTATCTCAAATAAGGCGAGAAACATACTAGAACAAGGGCCGAAGTTTGCTCTACCACCACGGCTACAGCCCATTGACAAGGTTGCCTTGGTCAGAAACATCGCATCCAAGGCTCAAGATGAGAGCGCTTCAAGCATAATCAGTGAAGGGATCGACTGCATCGCAAGCCAAAGAAGCTCAGCAAAAGCAAATAGGAGCTTTGGTACCACAGTACATGAGCTAATCAGCAAAGATCTTAAGCTCTGTGTTTCTGATAAGGAAGGCGGATTTGTGGTCTTAGATTCAGACGCATACGAAGAAAAAGCTTCTGCTGCAATGGCTAAGAACTTCATTCATGTGGAAGAAAAAAGAAGCAAGAAGTCTAAACCAGCAGCCCTGAAGCTACTTGATAACAACGAGCTTAACAGCCTCAGCACAAAAATAAAGAAAACGAAGAAGGGACACCTGCAAGTTTTTTTCTCAGCAAAAACACATAAGGAAGGCATACCGTTTCGGGCCATTGTGTCGGAAAGAGGAACCTGGCAAGTCCATTTGTCGACATTCCTGGCGAAACAGTTGTCCTTGATAGAATCCGACGATCCGTACAGAATTAAGAATTCGGAACATTTAATTGAATATCTTAAGAAGAATGGAGAAAGCGTCACATCTGGATTTTCCATCGATATCCAAGATATGTATTACTCAATCCCACACAGAAGACTCATGGCAATTCTCCGATCCACCATCGAGGAGCAGGGCTCTACAGCGTTTCAGAATACTGCTGGACTAAGTGTGAGCACCTTCTTGGAACTATTAGGTGTATATTTGACTTCCACTGTAGTAGACTTTCAAGATCAACAATATGTGCAAAAGAGTGGAGTGTGTATTGGATCTCGGGTAGCGCCGCAATTGTGTGACTTATTCCTGGGGGCATGCGGAAAGATCATCGCAAGTAATCTGACAGATACAAGGGTCACAGCCATCTTCCGATATGTGGACGATTTTTTAGTACTTTGTGCCACAGAAGGTGACGACCAGAGTGAAGAATGCAAGGATACTATTCTGCAAGTGTTTCAAGAAAGTTGCCCCGAATTGGTGTTCACACATGAATCACCTGTGGACAAAAATATCAAATTCCTAGACCTCGCGCTAATTTTCCAACAAGGGCACGTTTGCTGGAGGTACGAACCCCGGTCAGCAAAAGGGTTTCTGCCGTTTACCTCTGGCCACTCAAGAACTATTAAGAGAGGTATCGCCAGCACGGCGTTAGTTTCTGCCTTAAACAAATCATGTAAACACCAGATAGGGCAGAGCTTTGAAAAACAGATGTCACGATTACGGAATTCGGGATACCCAACAAGTATCTTGGTACCCGTTTGTGAGACCATCTGCAGAAACTTGAAGAGTGCAAAGTCGGGCAAAAAAGTAAACGAGAAAACCCGAAGGAAGATCGCTGTGCTACCATACGTTCACGGGATTACGCACAAATTGAAAAAGATCGCCGCGAGGAATGAGATCCAAGTAGTATGCTCCGCGCCTAACAAAGCGTACTCCATGTGCAGACGAGTTAACAACAAAACAGGCAAAGAAAAAACGTGCGACATTGCCCACAGAACACAATATGTACCATGCATGACAGGAGTGGTTTACAACATTCCCCTTTCATGCGGGAAGTGCTACATCGGCCAGACGGGCCGATGCATTAACGACAGAGCCCGCGAGCACGCAGCATCCCTTAAAGGAACGTCGGCAGGGCATCTTGCAGCTCATTGCAGGACTTGCCACTGCAGTGCAGCGTTCAAGGACATAACCATCCTAGCCAGTAATAACAATACTCATGCGCGCGAGATGCTCGAGGCGCTTGCTATCGAAGAACAAGCGAGTGGGTGCGTCAGCACCCCGTCCATCACTATTCACAAAAAGGAGAGACAATATCTACGGTGCGTCACGGTCCAGAAAATGGCAGTATGAGCTTGTGGCGGGTGAATTTAAAATATTAGTTTAGGTTTAGGTAATGTGAAAATTTTGTAAACATACACATGCATTATTATATTAGTATAATAGGTTTTAATATGTAATAATTTTTGTTGGTGTCTGAAAACACGCAAGGAAAAAGAAGTTCCCACTAAATAATCGTTGGTAGTCAGCTGTCTATTCTCTCCTGTCTCAATTTCTCTATATCTTCCCCTGGTTCAAGCTGTCAAATATATACAAGTGTTCATCAACACTGCTTTGGAAAAATAAAGAGATGACAAGGGGAAGAGATTGACCTCACCTCTTAATCTAAAATTGAGGTCAGAGGTCAAACTATAATACGGGAAGGGTCCACGATGGTTGCACGGGCTTATTCCATTCAGCACGCCAGCCGGTCGTGGGCAGACTGTCTTGGCCAAGTACCGTTGAAGCAACGCTGCGCCGAGTCAGAGTGCCTGCTAGGCCTATATTCTACCCAGCTCGCTTGGTTGGGGTCGGTGGAGTCATGGCCGTTGTAGCTTTTCTCGGGTGTTTGTGGATCCAGCGTTCTTGTTCGTTGTCTGTTGTAAGTACTTTTTTCTTGCTGCTTGAAGTTGGGACGTGCGAGAAGAACACGTAAAAAATAAACGTTAGTTGGTCGTTGCGACCAAGTAACTGAGCTGACTGAGCGACGCTGTCAGCCCTTCTGCGCAAGCGCAGTAGTTGCTTCGTTTACCACACGATAGATGGCACTTGGCTTTCAGCATAAGTAGAGATGTGACAAAAAGTTGGCAATTTTCGTCACATCTCTACTTATGCTACAAAATGTGGATCTGAATATTATTTAACAAAACATTTAGGAAACATTCGCCGGCTATTTATTGTTTATGATCGCGGTGCTGGTGAGGTAGGCTCTTACCCAATAGGCGACGTGGATTCGGCTGTTGTGCTGCGATTCCGCGGATGCATCACAGTGAAAAGGCAGAGCTTTCGAAGGAAAGAAGGCGCAAAAGAGTCCAGTTTTCTTTTAAAAGTTCTATAGCGAAGAATTTTTTTTGGCTCCCTATTTTAGTGTTTTTGTGTTTCTTTTCACACCTTTTACGACAAGTGGTGGATGAAATTCAATTTCAGAATCGTTTTATGGTCTCTTTAAAATGAATAAACCAAATGTTGTTACGTCAAACTACCCATGAGATACCTAAACTACCCAAATTCCCTGTAATCTTGCCAGTGAAGGTAAACCCAACGTCATGAAGGCGCTGGAGGCGCGAGGTCGTCAGAGACTCATCACGCTCTCCGATGGCCGCTCTTCGAGCGCTTGCTAAAATCTGCTGCCGGTTGGAATTACAAATATAGCCATCCGTTCAAAATACAAACATGTAATTGCCAGTAGCAGATTTCGTTTCTGAATGTGAGGTATACTTTGATTATTTGTTCAGCATCCCTGTAATGTGCCCAAACCGTGCCCCTCCATTTCTAATCTAAATTTGTCCCTAAAATAAAATATTCTCCGTGCAATTTCAGATATTTCACAGTAAAGTTCTATTCAGTAGTCTCCAACACTTGTAGTGCAAACCTAGTTTGCTTGAATTGTGATGGTACAACTGGCTAAGATGCTCTCTTCAAGTGATGTCACAGCTACTACTAAAGTACTTTAAAAGGAAGATTTTTTTTTAATCCTTAGTGTCTCAAAAGGGAGTCTCTTCCTAAGTTGCTCCACAATGCAGATTTTCTTGCTCACAAATTCCAAATGCTTGAAGTTGAAATGGCCCGCTCTGCCAGACCGTTGCACATCTTACATTAAATCGGCTGTTTTTCGGCATGGTTCGATCGGAGCTCTTTTCTTTTATTTCCTCTTGCAAGAGATCGGACGTCTTTTGAGTATCTCAAGGGTTCCGAAACTTTTCAATCCTGGCAGATGCCTGCTTCTCCGATCTGGGATGCCACAACAGAGATTATCGAGTGCCAGCGACACTTTAGATGGTGCGTGTAAAAAGCACAGCTGAAGCTCGGAGTCGTTGCATCCTTAAACTGACACCATCAAAGTTGACAGTCTGACGTCCTTATTTTCATGAGTGAAAGTAGGATTCATCGTACTCAAGACGTCGTAGTGAACATTTGGCCTATCGTGGAAGGCCGATTAGCGGCTACGCTTTTGGTAGAGCACGTCACCGATAGCCAGGGAACCCTTTCCGGTCTCGGCATTGACGTAATAATGCTGCGTAGAAGCCTGGAGACCTTGTGAGTCATAATGCACATACTAGGGAGTGCTTGGGGACATAGCTATGCATCGGTGGATGGCTCGGATCTCCTCAAGTACTCCTCAAACTGGGGAAATAACTTACATATGCTGAGGCTGAGGAAATTTGAGTTCCTGAGGAATCCTCGGGTTCCTAGGCATCTGGTTTTAAGATTGCGAGTATTACTTGTTGCGTGTTGGGCCGTTGTACATGGGCGGCCCCCGTAGCTCGTCCCCGGCACATTCTTTGAATGCGAAGGGGACGCACTTGGGGAGGACTGTCCCGAGCCGTCGTTGACGAGAGGGCCTCTACGTTTGCAGACGTCTCAGTACACCTGCCACCAGGCGGTGCAGCTGATCCGGGGGACCAAGGAGCGGGCCCAGCGGATGCCCGGGCAGCGGGACTCCGAGCGGCTGGACGTGGCGGAAGCCCTGGCCCACGTGTTCCTGGTGCGGGACCTGCTGGTGCCCTCGCCCTACTGCTGCACGCGGGACCTGATGGGGCTCTGGTGCGAGCTGCAGGCTCTGCAGGGACACCGCACGGGGGAAGTGGCCAGGGCCGCCTTGAGGCTGGTGGTGCCCCACGCTGCCACCAGCGCTCACTTCTACCTCTTCTCGGACGTCCTCTGGGAACACGTGAGGGCCGCTTCTTTCGTCTGTGTGGGCACGTTTGGCGTGTGTGCAGTGCAGGGGACCTAGAGATGAAAGCCAACGTTTAGTGCAACGGGGTCTCTGTTTGCTGCGAAAATCATTGGCATTCTAAAACTTGGCCAACTAACATGCCACAAGACAAGTACAAATACAAGTTCGGAACTTTCAAACTCAGCTTTTTTTCGGGTAATAAATTTAGAAAGTGATTGGCTCCCTAAAACTACTAATCTAGGTATAAAAACAATTGTTTATCATATATAGGTTCCACTGCACTTTCAGCTTTTTTTTGTGTGTGTGTGTGTGTTTGTGTGATTTGGCATTGCAAGGTAAATGCAAAAAAATATAATTCTTAATACATCTTTAGAGAATTTGTGTCTTTGCTTTGTTTTTGTGTATTCCATGCTTTTATACACGTATGTCATTCGAAGGGCTATATCGTAGTGCATGTGCCGAAATGGTATGATTAATAAAGGAAAGATGGGGCACTTCAACATTTTGGAAAAAAAAACACTTGAATTGCGCTCATTTGGCCTTTAGAATAACAGATATCACAATTATGTTTGAATGAGACGCGCCGGAGAGCCATAAGAGCAATTTCAAAATAGTGGTGAAGCCCCGCCTCCCTAGCCTTGGGCAGCCAAAAGACCCATTGATGACGTCAGATACAGCGACTGTCTTTCGAGTTTTCTCGCGTTTAGCAATACTTGCATATCAAATGGCTTGGGTATTCGGGTTTACGGGTTAAAAACCTCCGTAGCTTCCCTTTATGGGGGAACAGTGGTCTTGTGGCTTTTTTTCTTATTCTGATTCCAAATACCTGTTCGTTTTTTTAAAGCTCGGCTCTTGGGCATTCGTTCTCGTGTTTCTCGGTGTCGCCGTCAGCATAACCGCGCGCGTTGCATTATGGGACACCACAGACCTATAGGCCAACTCAATAGACCATATGCGAAATGTAAAGTGCCATTTAGTAGCGCGCCGAGAACTACGTCTGCCATCTTGGTAGCGGCGAGAAAACGAAACCAGTGACTTTACCGGCAAAGACCCCATGTATAAACAAGCAACCGCGCTTCGTGCAAGAAGTGCGATGCCAACGCGTTGCTGCGTTCCGCTGCGAATGGTGCGATAAACCTTCGATTCAAGCTTGACGTGAACGCAAACGTAAACGGGATTCACAGTTTTTTATTTTTTTTTTATTTGTTACTTGAGACGCAGCTTTTCAAATAAGCAATTGGATCGGTGACAACACAAAGAAACGTGCGGACATTATCTCGCGGTGTGAAGCCATTTACAACTATTGAACTGGACCCTAATCATTTCACAAAGTTGTACCAAATTTGTTTCCAAACTTTTTTTTATGCATGTTGTAGGGTATGTTTGCGTTTTTCTTGATGCGCAAGCATCTCAATGTATGCGGACGAGACCAGAGGTGACAGTTTTAATAATCTACGCCACCAACCATTAAATGAAGGTGCGTATGGTTAACAGTGAACAACAAAAGCGAAAGCACAACAGAGCCCTCATTTTAATGGAATATATTAAAAAAATTAATTACTTTAATAAGTCGGAAGACAATCTCATTGCTTTGCTGCGATTTCTTTCACTTGATTTGGCGTCGGTAAAAGGGGTTTCTAAAACACCCTTAAAACAAAACGGGAGGGTTTTTTGATCAAATATTCTTGAATACTTAAAGTGTGGTCATGTAAAATAGAAAACACAACAAACATGGAGGACGTGTCTGTTTGCTCAACACTCAGAGAGACAAGATTTTTCTGTCTTCTTTGTCGAACGCCACGTTCGATTAGATAGAACGTGGTGTTCGACTTAGGTTCATTGCAGCGGTTAAAACTTCAATGTCAGCGGCAGCGAAAACTTACGTTGCGGACGTTGAATTGAGCAACACGGGCTGTGCCAACTTCATTTCACAATCTCCTTTTCTTTTGTTTGTCGCAGCTGAGGTAAAAATTATGTTTAGTGCAGAGAAGCTCGGGGGGTAGTTTTGAGAAAGTCAATGCAGCTGAGTTAAAAATTATGTTTAGTGCAAAGAAGTTTTGGGGGTAGCTTAGAGAAAGTCAATGCAGTTATTCTGCCAGGGCTGATCAAATTTTTATTAATAACGCAACATCCGTCAACTGTGCCTGAGGTCAATGCTATTTGAAACCAATTTGAGCTCTTTGCAATGCCTGAAGTATATTACCCAGGGCACAATTTTTTCTTAAAAAAACACACAACTTTCAAAAAAAAAAAAAAAGAACCCTGAGTTGCATGTATTGGCGTCGAGGAGTTTACCGCTAAACAGTATGACTTCATGCATATTCGCATAAAAAAAAAATAATGAAAAGTGTCCTCAGAGATAAAAGGCATGATGGCCTAGTCCTTTTTCCACGTCAGACAATCTGAAGTCAGAAAACAATAAAGTTTCCGAATCACACTTAGTGGCAAGGCGTCTATGCCCAGGAAATGCTGAGAAACCAAAACTCAAGATATTGACGCTACCAAGATGGTCGCATGCACAGTGTTGCCAGACCACCTAGCAGTTTTGCATATCGTCTATTCCCCACTAAATTTAGCGAAGAAACTGAATTGGTGTGTAGGTCTGTGACGTCCCATAATGTAACACTGCGCATTCAGTTTTCTCGCTAAATTTTGTCTAAAAACTGACGTCACATGACCTCAACACCAATTCAGTTTCCCCGCTAAATTTAGCGGCGAATTGAATCGGTCTTGAGAAGTCACATGACGTTAATGTTCCCGCTAAATCTAACTGAGAAACTGAAATTTTTCATAGGTGACGTGACACCAAGTAATGCGACGTCATTTTCCCCGCTAAATTTAGCGGGGAAGCTGAAGTAGTGTTGAGTTCACGTGGCGTTAATTTTTCAGCTAAATTTAGGGAAATGTGGGAGGGGGGAATCATAAAGGAGGAGGAGTGGAGGGATACCTTCCCCTTCTCCTTCTCCTCCCCTACCCTCCTCTATACACTCCACTCCTCCTCCTGCGTACCCTCCTGTCACGGTATACCGCAAAATCAAAATACCTGAAGAGCTGTACTCTAATTCTACATTACAGGGATTTTTAAACATTTTTCAATTTTTTAATTAGGTGGTTACTTCTCAGGATAATTACAGTTAACCAGACTTAGTTTCCAAAAACAATTAAGAAAAATCATCTTTAAAGAAGAATGATTTTACATATGGTCAGGTACTACAAATTATGAAGAATGCAGTGTTGGAAGCACTTTTTAGATTGAATCATTATTAGTGACTTTACAACACATTGGAGTTCAGTGCGTAGTGTGTGGCTACCAAGCAATAAAAAAGTAATTCAGTTAAAACTTTCCTACACCTACAGTGTATTGAGAAATCTGCTTCCAACATTCCATTCTTTGCATATTTAGCTACATGTTGCTAAAAAAAGTTATATCTCTGTCTGCCGTAGATGCTGAAATATCCCTCCTGAAAATTTGTAAAGAGTCCAAAATTTTGTTTTGAGAATGTGTTGTTTTAGCATCACCTTCAGTGCAATTTCAGCCCACATGGATATTATAAAGTGATATTATGGCTCAAATATTAATCTTAAAACTAAGAACCATGCAAATCAAAAGAAACATAGCTTTAGATTTCAAAATCGCCATTTTCCAAAATAAACCAAAAAAACCCAGATATTTGTTTCCTTACAAAAAAAAAAAAACTAGAGTAAAAATGCGCGCGAGCTGGTGCACATCAGTAATGAGAATTCTTGAGACCAGGAACAGAAGGGTCGAGGAGAACAGCATCTGATAACCAGCACAGAAATTACTTAATTCAGGACAAGCTTCTTCCTTGCTCTCTAAAACACATCCTGACATCTGCAATTTTACATTGTGAAAGTCTTGAGCATTTAACCTCAGATTTAAAGGCAGTCTGAAAAGTCTGTTGCAAACCATCAATTATAAATGGTAAAAATGGTAAGTGATGGTGTGGGAAGCTTCATTACAAAAAGAAGACGGCAAACACCGCACTACTACAGGACACAGGGGGACTATCAAGGCCAAAAAACTAATGTCTTTGACGGACAAAAAAAAAGCAGGCTTTTAAAACTTTGAAAACCCCTTGAATTTGAAAATGGAATTTCCCAGACCATGAAAGCCTTGGAATTTCCTGCAGTGGTTGAAAACCCTTAAATTTTCCAATAATGGTCCTTTTTTTTTTCTTTGCAATGATGGCTTTTTTTTAATAATAATAAAATAAAATTATTCTTTATACTTATATGTTAACATAAATTTCAAAATTTCAATGCAGAAGTTTTCTTATATGGCACATTTACACACATATAGCGGGTGCCCATTAAGCGCCTGGCCACAATGGTAGCAGTCCCGTTAATTTTGGATCCGGCCTCGCCCGTCCGCCATCTTGTGACCTTGCTCCTCGTTCGCCTTGTTCTCTCGAGTACTGTTTACTAGTTACTCCTGGTTTGCTTGTTCCGCATCTGTTTTACGCTGCACATGGTGGACGTAGGTTGTGTGCAATGCCCGGGAAGTGCAACCTTTGGCGGTCGTGGCTGGGTCGCAACGACTACAGACACCGGAAAGCAGAGGCAACAGGGGCCATCACCTACATTGTCAAGTTGAACAGCCTAAGGAGCACAGCAAAAGTGAAGATGCCATAACTTCTAAACATGAACCCAGAAACCAAGGAAAAGCTGCAGTAGCTCTACTGAACCCCTTACTACCACCTCTTTGACAAATGTGCCTTTTCCTAGGTATTGTGCAGTAAAGAATTCTCGGAGTGCATTTGAAAAAGTTGTTATATTATAAATTTACTAGATATCATATTGGAAAGGGTCTTTGAAAATATCTTTACAGGCTTTTAAAAGTTCTTGAAAACCCTTAAATGTTTTTCTTTGAAGCCTGTGCGAACCCTGAAGAGGAAGATGTCGAGCACACAAATACAACAAGACTTCAGTGTTTTTGTCTTTCTAGTCCCCCTGTGTCCTGTAGGAGTGTGGTGTTTGCCTTCTTTTTGTAATGAAGCTTCCCACACCGTCACTTCTGGGAGTCGTGGTTTTACCATTTACAATTGATGGTGTGCAAGAAACTTTTCAGACTGCCTTTTATACCCCATTCACACGATCATAAAGGTCCCTTTAGCTAAGGGACCTTTATGGCCAGCGGCAAATCAGTTCGCGATCCTCCGCGCGTGGCATGTGCTCGTGATCTTTCAGCGCGGGCTGATTCACCGATTGCAAAGGGACCTATGTTAAAGGTACCTTTATGCTGGTCGTGTGAATGGGGGATAAATCTGTGGTTAAATGCTTAAGACTTCCACGATGTAGAACTGCAGATAATGTGGGGATGTTTTTGAGAACAAGGAAGAACCTTGTCCTTAATTAAATAATTTCTGTGCTGGTTATGAGACGGTACTGTCCTTGTCCCTTCTGTTGCTGGTCTCAAGGTTTCTTGTTATGAATGGTATGATACCATCTTGAACTCCTGCTGTTTTCCCACTGATTGCCAGAAAACTATAAAAATGTGAAAATGGTATCCAGAAACACTGAAAGGAAATAGACACTGAGTGACAGGGCTTAGCCTGCAGGAAAGATGAGCACCAGGAACTAGAGATTTTAAGCAGGATCAGGCCGCACGAGTGACGGGGATTTCGTTTCTCTGCCGCAGTTTGGCCTGAGGCTGCTCCCCGTCTACCTGGACTTCTTTGTGCGGGGCCTCACAACGGACATTAACACAATGCAGAATGCCCTCCACCGCGAAAACTGGCCCAGCGTGCGTGAGATGGAAATCCACCTGTCCAACGTCTATCTCAAGCTGTCCACGCTCTTCTCGAATTCCCCTCTGCTTTGCCGCGAGTGCGTCCTGAGCGCATTTGCGTTGGACCCAACAGAGGAGCGCCTCGAACAGCTCAACCAGTTGACCCTCAGTGTGCGACAGACGGAGGAGATGGCCGGGCCATCGCACGAGCCGGGGGAACGGAACGGACGGGCGTGTCGCTGCGGGGGGAGGTGCACGGACGAGCCCGTGTTGCAGACGACGAGTTCGGCGCGTCGCGACGGCCGGCCAGAGTATGAGATGGACTTCTGGCACCCCGTGTTAGAGTTGGGGCTATCTGGGGTGCCTTACCTGCTCCTCAAGGACTTTGTGACAGTGTTGGAGTGCGTGCGTCCACGCAGCGTCCACTTGTGCTCGGACTGGCGACGCTACATGGAGCTGTTCGAGAGCCGAAGACAGGGGCTGGGGCAGGGGAGGCCTCAGTCGAGTCCAGAAGAGTACTGTGGCAGTGCGGACAGCGAAACAGACTCTCCGTCGGAGAATGAGGAGGAAGAGCGCAAGACTCAGGAGCAGATCCAGAAGTTGATAGAGAGCACCGCGGCGGGTTTTCCACCCAAGCGGAGGGACAAGCGCAGAGCCAATGCCAAGTGCAAGTCGTCGCGGAAGAAGAAGAAAGGGTCCCGCAAGCGCAAGAAGGAAGTGAGGGCACAAGGCAAGGGACCGGGGAATGAGGACGCCCTCGCAGAAGGCGAGGGCGGGCCCAGCACAGCTCCTAAGGACGTTCCGAGAGTTAAAAAGAAGAGCAAGAAGAAAGGGTCCCATCGAAAGAAAGAGGAAGAGGGTGCACCACCGCCGGTGCCAGAGGCGAGCAGTGCTAACAGCGGAGGCTGTCTCGAGAGCCTCAGGGTCATCTTGGAGCGTTTTGACCGCCTTTCGGGCGTGAGCGACAAGCCGCCAGCGGACGGGACGAGTGGGCCTTGCGTCGTGCCATCATTGTCTCTCCCCAACATCTCAATGCTCCGGTTAGACGAGAAGATTGAACAGCCACTACCGCACCCCTTGGAGGCAGACCAGCCTCTGCCTCTCCCGGAGGGTCCCCTGGGGGAGTCTTTGCAGAGGGTGATGGATGCATTTCAGAGTGGTCTGGCCAAGACGCCCTTGAAGAGGTTCCTCAAGTTCCAGACCCGGAGACCCACCTTCACGACCAAGAAGGCAGTGCCCGTCAAGGTCTCCATGCGGACATCCAAGTCACATTGTCCCGTGCCCCCTATAATCAAGTCCCCCCTGAGCACTAGGGCAACTACTTCCATGACTGCACCGGTGGCAACTATAGTGACAGCGCGGCCGATCAAGGTCACGAGGACAGTGGTTTCTGGCGGTACGGTGAAGCCCACCATAATCAAGTCCAGCTTTGCCAAGGCCACTATTGCCAAGGCCAACGTGGTCGGCCCCAGCCTGATAAACCCCGACATGGTGCAGCCTAGTGCAATAAAGGCGAGCGTGGTGAAAACCAGCTTGGTGAAGCCCAGCATTGTGAAGGCCACCGTGGTAAAATCTAATGCGGGTCAGGTATCGGCAATGGTCACGGGGCCAGCGGCACTGGCCCCGGCAACAGCTGGTACCTCCGCAGCCAGTACAGTTTGTGCGGCCCATTCCGAATTTTTGGCACCTGTTACCAGTGTCGTCAAGCCAGTCGTTGCGGTACAGCCACCTTCTTCACCCGTACCGGCCTCCCTGCAGGCAACTATTGCCCCAACGCCCATTGCTCCAGCACCCATTGCTCCAGTGCCCATAGCCCCTGCAGCGGTTTCATCTGTGTTGGCACCGAGAATCCTTCCCTCCGTACAACCAACGCCGGTTCTTCAGAGTCCTCAGGCAGTCGTTCCTCCAAGAGCTGTAGCGATTATGCAGAAGAGTGTGCAAAACATTGCCCCGCAGCAACCTACAATGTCCCAAACGGTTCCACGGGTGGCGCTCGTGACCACAACGGCAGCGGCAACGTTGGCGACCAGCTGTGCACCCCAAATGGCATCCTGTTCCTCGGTGGTGACGACCATGTCTGCCGAGAGTGCCGCTCACGTCTTCAGTCAGCTGAAGCAGGGGCAAGCCACGGTGCTTCGAGTGCCCGTTTACTCGCGTGCCATGCAGCAAGGGCAGCAGGGTGGGGTGAAGTCGGAAGGCCCGGGCGTCTGCATGCTGCCGATGAAGTTCCTCAACGCGGCCATGCTCTCTGGGCAGGACAAGGTAATCAGCATCGGGAACCAGAAGATTGCTATCAACTCGCTGCCGAACCTGATCGCAGCCGCGACTGCCAGCAGCACGGGAGCCGCTACCATGACCACGACGATGGCCGGCACCGTTGTGAGCAGCTCGGGGGGAGGCATGATGACGGCCAAGATGATGCCGGCCATGGTTGCAGGTGGGCAGAATGTGCAGCAAATGCTTCCGCAGATGGTTCGCCTTAATACCCTCGGGGGTGGCATCCAGATGAGCGGTGCCAATGCCACCGTTCTTTCGGCCGACCAACTGGCAGGACAGCCCGGAATGGCAAACTTGGCGGCACTCACGGTGCCTCTTCAGGGGGGCCTCATGGGAGGACGTGTCATTGCAGGCAAGATTATGATTCCCGTCAACAGTCTCCTGCAACAAGGAGCTACCTTGTCAACAGGCACTGGCATGCCCATGATCATCCTTAAAAACCAGCCTTCACAGGCCAAGATAATGACGGATGTCTCAGGTCTGGCACAACAGGTTCAGCAACAAGTTCAACAGCAAGTTCAGCAGCAGCAGGTGCAGATCCAGCAACATATTCAAGTGCAGCAGGTTCAGCAACAAGTTCAGCAGCAAGTCCAACAAGTTCAACAACAGGTTCACCAGCAAGTTCAACAACAACAAGTTCAGCAACAGGTTCAGCAGCAAGTTCAGCAGCAGGTCCAGCAACAGCTGCAGGCTAATGGAAGTCCGGTGGTTGTCTCTACCGGTGCAACTGTCGGAGTTCCGCTGGCCATCTCTACCACTGCCTCGTCAAATGCCACAATCATCAAGAAGACCTGGATGCCCATCCGAAGCAAGCCGGGTGCCATGGAGTACCGGAAAGTGTGCAACATGCCCCCCGTGAAGGTCACAAGGGCCAAGTTTCTGGCTCCTGTGTCTTCGCAGCAGCTCCCCATCGTGTACACCAGTCCTCAGGCTCCAGTGTCCGTCACTAGCGCGACTCGGGTGGTCTCTCAGCCCATGTGCAAGACCATTCCATTCACCGGCATGCCCGGGGTAACGCACCTCACAGTTCCTACGGTCCAGATGGGGATGCCGATGACGGTGGTGTCTTCCAGCTCGATGGTGGGCCAGCAATTGTCTGTGCCGGTCGCCCCGAAGGTGGTGACGCGTCAGGTGACGGTGCCGATTGCCAAGCTGTTGCAGAAGCCGACCTCTACCGTTTACAAGGTGGCGGACGGACACACGCCTATCCTCCCAGCCCCAAGCGTCCTCTGCACACAGCCGACAGTTCAGGTCGTGCAGACGTCGCAGGCGACCACGGTGGCTGCCGTTCCTGTTCCCATCAGACCGCGTGAGGAATCTGTTCCCACGGACGCACCGAAGGCGACGACGCCTGGCGAGGCCGTCCCCGTCGCTTCTTCTACGCCCAAGACTGCTGCCGTTCCGAGCCAGCGTCCGACAGAAATCCAGTTCCCCCTGCCGGAAGATTTGGTGGATCCGAGTCCGAGTGGAGCGACGTACGTTCCGGTCAACAGTGCGGAGCTGATGCCGACGGGACGTACGGAGAAACAGCAACGAGAAGAAGAGGAGACGGCGAGAGCCCATCGTCGGCGCAAGGCGCTCCTCGCCGCAAAAGCAAAAGGGGCGCCGCCGGCTGCGCCCAAGCCCCTCTCGCAGTCCATGTCAAAGTCCCTGGCTTCGATCTGTGATGCCGTCCGTTCCAGTCTCCTCTTCTTCGAGGATGCCAAGGACAGGGTGGATGCACAGGTGAGTTGGGCAGCTGCTGTTTAGGGCCTGCACTTTGAACTGCAGTGCCATACTTGAAAACATGAAAACAAAGTGCAGCACCCTGTCTGCAATTCTGACCTTGTCCAAGTTCAGTGGTGGCCCGATTAAGAAATCATTATGTAAAGATAATTGGTGTTTGCGCCTCGGTTGCTTTATTGAATTTCTTCCCATCTCCGAGGGCAAGTGCAAGGAGGGAATTCTATGTGACAAGATTCACAAAAGTGCTTTCTTACGGAGCTCCTCCTTATAGCAAACCTTGATCATCAGCCCTGATGCCAGAGGGATGTGTTTGAATTGCTTTTCAGTAAAAATAACAACCCCAAAAGCTAATTCTTTTTTTTTTTTTTTTTAATTTTGCCATTTGTATTTTAGATGTTCTGGCTGGTGGAAACAATCTAACAAATTTCCACTGACAGTGGACCTTTGTTAAATGATTCGTTTATGAAGAAGCGTGCTAGCATCTGCAGCAGTAATTTACTTTATGAAAAGTTCGAACAAGTGTTACTTTAAATCTGTAGAATAGGTGAGCATGTATACCTACAAACACGGTTTGCTCCTCGGTGTTACAATCCTTTGCTAAAAGTCTGTGTTTGATGCATTGGCTGATCTAACTAAATTATTTTGACAAGGCAGGAGAGCTTAAACTGTCCCAACAGCACTGTCTTGTTTTGGTAAACGGGAGGGGACAAGTCATTGGCCGTAATATCTAGGTAGTCTTTAAGCCTCTTTACCACAGATGACAAGCTAAAAGTCATAATAAGTCAAGTTTTATAGCATAGTTAATTAGATATTCGTATAACGACGATGCAAGTAGGTTCTGCTGCATTATGTTGGACAAAAGTGGGGACTTGCTTTAGATGAAGGCAGTATGTCACTCTGGAATATGTCCACGGAGGTAGGTGCAGCTGTGACGAGGTTCGGCGGACGTTTTACCGAAGCGGGAAGGCCGAGTCTCAAATGCAATACTGCCCTCTCGTTTCATTCAGGCCACCATCAAGGAGTGTCAAGACTACGAGCTGGACTACTGGAGCGACGACTCTTCCAACTGCAGCGTGGAGGACTTGTTTGAGGAGAAGGCGCTGCTGCGCCGCCTAGAGCACGAAGAGGAGCTGAACAGCATCCTCTATGTGTCAGATTCAGTGGCATCCGAGCCGGACTGCGACGCCTTTCCCTGGTCTAGTCAGTCCTCGATGCTGCTGGACCAACTCAACTCCGACGGCGACGCGAGGGACACCATGACGCCCTCTTCCGTCGCCGACAGCCTCGCGGAGGTCTCTGACCGGCAGGCCAAGAAGTCTCATAAAGCCAAGAAGTCTCACAAGGCCAAGATGTCCCTGCAGGAAAATGGGCTCCAGTCGCCTTCTAAGTTCTCGTGCGACCGCTGCAGGCGAGGGTTCTTCTCCGCCTACAACCTGCGTCGACACCAGAAGAACGTCCACAAGATGGAGTTCAAGTCGTTCCACCCCTCCTCGATTGGCAGAGACACCCCATCTCCCCAGCACCGCCCGGTGCCGTTGTCGAAACAGCCCGTTGCCGCGGCATCCGGCGGCCAGAGAAGGGCCATCACAACGTACCCCGCACACAAGTCGTCGTCTCCGCAGCTGCCAGCTGCTTCTAAGCGGACGCTGTTCGACGCCGCTCTTGCGGACCAGGACGAAGAGAGCTCGAGCCCGGAGAAGCTGTTCTGCGCCCACTCGGAGGAACAGAGGCTCTCGTTCGAGAGTTCGGCGGTGCCATCCGACTCGGAGGAGAGTCCGCTGTACGGCATCAAGGACGAGCCTTCGGAGCACGGCATGGAGTCGCTCATCTGCGACAATGCCTCGTTTGACGTCATCCAGCAAACCCCACTGGACTTTTATCCGGAAAAGCGGGACCGCCCTGAGCTGTCCCTCTCAAGCGTGGTCGCAGGAGGCAGCGGCGGCAGCGGCGCAGCGAGGTCACAGGGGCGCAAAACGTACGGCTCCTCCAAGAGGGCTGGAGGAGAGGGTGGGGGCTCTCCTGAGGAGCTCTCCAAGAACCTGGACCCGGCGGACATCTTGGAGTCGCTCGAAGTGGCCAAGATGTCCGGGTGGTCGTCGGCAAACAGCCCCCTGGTGGACGCGGCGGGCGCCATGAGCGTGAAGCTGGAGTTCAAGGACGAGGACGCCGTGTCTCGGTCGGCGTTGGAGTCGCTACTCGGGAAGGCGGGAGGGGTGAACCACAGTGGCGGTGAAGGCCAGGACGACATTGATGACATCCAGCCGACAGTCCAGCACATGGGGGTCTCGGACGGCAAGGAGGAGGATGAGGGACAGGGCTCGGAGCCTTGGAACGACCTGTCGGCAGACCAGGCGGCGCTCCTCGAAGACATCAAGGCGGTGGAGTCGCTTGCAGAGTACGGTACAGACAGCCTTGACTTTTTTGTGGCACCCCGGAATGTGATGACGATGGAAGATCAGGGGGACTTGCTCGGCTTTGCCGACGGGTCGCCGCCCATGGGCGAGGACCCTGGGGAGGAGGGGGAGGAGGAAGAGGATATGGCCGAGGCACATCTTCCCGATGGGAAGATGCTTAGCGTGAAGACGGAACCGGAGGAAGAGGCCAAACCGTGCACGAGCCACTGCCGCACGAGGGCACGCGAGACGTCCATCAAGCGCAGCTGCCCGTGCTGCGAGGACAGTTCTCCGAGGAGGCGACTCACCCGCAGTTCTTCATCCGGGGGCAAGACGCGGTCGTCTGCGAAGAAAGTGCGGACGAGGTGATTGGCTTTTTCAAAGCCTGCGGTTAAACGGACCGAGGAGCCCGCTTTCGGCGGCAGCAATGTCGGGGACGAGTTTGAAACCTGCCTGTGATAGCAGTGCATTTGACCAAAGTGTGGATGCGGAGGGTGGGAGCACGCCAGTGTCGAGCGAGACGGCGTGGTCAGAGTCATGGGATCGGCGAGGAGCTCTTGCCGCCTGGCAGAGGTCCGGGTACTCCGGGGGTGTTCTATACATAGAAACAAGCTCTCCTCTGCGACATTTTCCATAGGCCAGAATTTTTTTTTTATTGTTGTTACGTTCCCCTTACTCTTTGTTGCGTATGAAATGCCTGCTGCGATAACGGAACCAAATGGTGCGTGGAGACTGTCCAGTATCGTGAGAGAGTTGTACAAACGGAGGCTCTGAATTTGTGTCGGGCAGTGGGTCTATTTTGGAACTGTTTGCTTCGAAGTTAACTTATGACATAGTACTTGTAATTTATTTTTATGTTGGCAGCCCATTTTCTTTTTGTGTTTCTCGCCGCTGCCACAAAGTACTGCTTGTGTCAAAGCCCCATGTTTTCTTTTAAGATGGAACTTGCCGCAGTTGTCAACCTTAAATTGTGCAAGTACATAGTGTAGATTACTAGATAATGCCATTTTTAAGTATCCTCATCCACAGTTCTGACGTTAGGGAGCAGGTTGTGACTTGACGGATAAAGTCATTCCCTTGTGGCTAGCAGAAGGCTTGCAATGCCCTAAATGTTGATTGGAGTGTTACCGAGGCTGGTGGATTGGGTGGTAAACGTGCGTGCTTTTAACATATGTAAATACTTCCAAAGAATCATTTTCTTGAAAAAGGTGCTTTCTTTTGCAGGCTAAGAACTGCACTTGTACATATGGTTGCTTCAGATATTGTTCTTCAGAGACACTGTATAATACTTGTCACAATACAATAAACTTTTTAATCTATAAGCATTGGCCATTCATTGCACATACAAGGTGTTTTTTTTTTTTAGTACTTACGGATTTGTTTTAAAAAGTTATGAAAGTTACACTAATTCAATTTGTGCAGGTGAGTTATACAGATAAGAACATAGAGTAGGTTCCGGATAATTCACCCGGATATTTCATACTTCTGGTTAATTCAAACAAATTTCAATATTTGGTTGTCCCACTGCTTCAAGAGGCCCCAGAAAAAAAAAAAAGAAAAAGCTTTTTTTAAACAGTTTGGTTGGGACATGCGTGTGAAAAAATGTATTTGAAAAATTTTTTTTTAGCAATATTGGTGGTGTGAGAGACGATTTAGTTTGTTGTCACATACTTTCCACTTGTTTTCTCAGCATGTTGGGCATGTGGAGTTGAGGTGGATCGGCTTGGTCATCCCGTTGAGGTGGAGAAAGTGCATAACCATCTCGTTGAGGTAGAAAGAGTGTATGATCGTTCCGGGATGTCATGGACTTGGCGCGCAAAATTTAAATTGCTGTAAACGACTTATTTTTCGCGAGCTCAATATTTCACAATTTAGGTCAAAGCTGAAGTTTTGGAATAACTCGCGGGTTCTAATTTTCGCGACTCTGATCTCAAAATAGATTCCGATGTGTTTGCATTTTACCGGAATTGTAGGCGATTAAAAAAAATTGAGTCATTTACAGTAAATCTCGTGCCGTCAATATTGCCCTAAACATTTTTTTTTCTCGGATAAAATTAATTTTCGGACACGCATGTCCCAAACACTGTTTAAAAAAACTTTTTTTCTTTGCAGGGGCCCTTTAATGTGTTTGTAAGCTGCTTAATTCGAATGGCATTTTTGTGCAATTCATACTTTTTAGTTCTCGTGGCCCTGTTGACTGCACTTTTTTCCAAGCACCAGTGCACCGCATGGCAGTTTTCATAGCGCGGACGCCGTGATGACCTATGCCATGCTGCCACGTCACAGTGTACGCGCAAGTCGATATGGAAGTTTCCTCGTAGTGCCCATATTCGTCGCTCGTGTGCCCTGCTTGAGCCCCATTGAGTGCACTTCTCACTCAGCACCAGTGCACTGCGGAAAAGCAACACCTGCAGTGCACAGGTGCTAAGCGAGAAGTGCATTCAATGGGGCTCAAGCAGGGTACATGAGTTACGAATGCGGGCACCATGAGAAAACTCTCAACTTGCGCCAACGCTGCGACGTGGCAGCATAGCATAGGTTCAAGTCACAGCGTCCGTGCAAGTTGCTATGAAAACTGCCGTGCAGCGCCCGTTTTCGTCGCTCGTGTCCCCTGCTTCATAGTTCACATTCGACAACTTCTCGGCCTGATGAACAAACTTACATTTTGTTTTGAATTGTCACGTGCTGTCTAAACAGCCCACGATAAACAACATTTCTGAGGGATAAATAAACTCTACATACAATTCACAAATGTTTCTTTTGTGGGATACCTGCCTATATATTTGTATGGGAAATCATGATCTTAAGTAATCATGTTTATAAATGAATTTGATTATTCAAACTTCCAATAACAAACAAAATTTGTGGCTTCCTGGAGTTGGAACTAATGAGTCTGCTCCAGGGGGCTAATTGTCACCACAAGTCTGATAATTAACTAAAATTTGTTAATGATTTAATTAGCAAAAACGAACACGGTTCTAATAGACTGGTCTCGCAGCCAGTGTCATTACCCGACCGCTGCCGCTATGCCTCTTGGGCTTGCGCTTGTGGCACGAGAGGACTTTATTGCACCACCACATTTCCTATGTGCTGTGTCTTTCTAAACTTTACTGAAATGGTAGTTTTTGAAGATGCTCAGCCAGTTTGTAATAGTCTGATCTCGCCGAGCGTCCCCAATTGTAGTTCACAGGAACCAAATAATAGTAAACGAGACAGCTCGTGCTGTCTCGTGCTCTGCTAGTGCCAACCCTGAGGGGTTGTCGCGCAGGCAGAGAGGCTACAATTCCCACGATACGTGCCAGCAGCAGCGGCGTAGCGAAACTGGCTGGTGAGATCGGTCTATTGTACCCATATGTTATCTTCACTAATTAAGTCACCTAACTAATATGAGTTAACAGGCTTATTGCAACGATTGGCCCCCTATAGGGTGCTTTCACATGATGTTAATCCACCATTTTGTTCGATGTCAATGTGACGACACTTGCAAGCTTCTGTGCACTAAGGGTGCGATGCGAATCTTTCGGAGTGCTTGCCTTCTGCACGCACCAGACTGCTCATAACAAAATGGACGAAATGGCGACGATGAAAACACCCTATATTGTGTTTCCCTGGCCATGCAAATTATCTGCACAGACAAATCGGCCTAGCTTTCGTGGCTTTTAATAAAACAGTGAAAAGCTTACAAAGAACATCCTGTATATGCATACTAGCAGCAATGGCTGCCTATCAACACACTACAATTTTGTGAAACAAAACAAAAGCTGAAAACCAGCCCAGAATTTAGCGGAGAAAAAATTGGAAATTATTGGTACGCATTTATCACATTGAGACCTACATTTCTTGCACGTCGTCAAACCATGCTGATGGTCATCCCTTAATTATTCTTGGCAAAAAAAAGATTGTACAGCCCTTCCACTTTGCAAAGCTGTTTCTTTACGTCGTCTAGGATGATGCCTAGAGGACAACGTCTAGGACGACCTCTAGGACAACATCTAGGACTACCCCAAAGGACAACTTCTAGAACTACCTCGAGGACGATGCCTAGGACCTCTCGGATGCCGCCTAGAGGACGACCTCAAGGACAACTTCTGAACGACCTCGAGGATGATGCCTCGAGATAACAAGGGATCAGTACCTCACTGTCTAATAATGCCAAGGAAGGCTGACTCACACTGGTTGCCCCCTCTTTTTTAGTCATACTTGCCACGACCAATGGGGAGTTTGTGAGGACTAGGCTGACCATATTTCTCAAGGTAGAAAACGGGACATCCCAGCCCGGAGGGGAGGGGGGGGGGGGGGGGGGGGGGAGTGAGTGAGTGATGGGGAAAAAGAAGGAGGAGGGAGCGGAGAGAGACAGAGAGGAGGGGAGGGAAGGGAGGGGATGGGTATAGTAAAGGTTGAGATAGGAAGTACAAATTTAATGCCAGATTTTCGATTTCAAAGCGTTAACATATTTCATGCGTGCTGTATTCATTAACTAAAAAAAAAATTTCTATTCACGAGTCTCGACAAAAATATGTGTTTGTGGGCAAGAACAGTTCTCCGAATTTTACTGGGTAAAGGTTTTAAAATACCTACTTTTTTTTTTTTTTTTGTAAAGTATATTTGTATCAAGTGGGCATAGTTTCCGCTTGCTCCAACTCGCTTTGTGACAAGTTCGAAATTATGCACTCCTGCGAAAACGGGACATGATTCCTTATTGGGACAAAAAGACGGGACGGCCCAAACGGAGCTCAAAAACGGGACTGTCCCTGCCAAAACGGGACGTCTGGTCACCCTAGTGAGGACGCATTTTTTCCTAGACCCTAGCGTATAACAGCTTTGCTGGAAAAAAAGTGCAAATTGTGGGCTGTGAAGGTATGCAGTCAGCAGCAAGGCCGGCATAATGGCTGCTAATGGGAGGTCGCTGCAAGTCGCAAGTCTGGAGAGAGGCTAGGCTCATTCGATTTACCTGCACCTGTTGCACTGGTGCAGAAAAGTGTAGGGCGGTGTAGGTACTTCCGGTCGTATCTCAATGCAGGTAAATCGAACGAGCCTAGTGAGCAGTGCATTCTAGGCTGCACTGGGCATTGTTTTGCCAAGCTTTTCTGCGCTTGGGAACAGGGGCGGATCCAGAACTCCGTTTTGGGGGGGGCAGAAAATTTGTAAGGATACTATTCTCCCATTCTTTCTTGTGCACCGGGGGGTACACCCATGTCAAATTGCTCTCCGAGAAGGGGGAGGGGGGGTGCCCCTGCTTGGGAAACATGCTGCACATAACGGCATCGACTTTTTTAATAGGATTATGGTGCAGGACGTTTATTGTGGTGCCAAGGGGATGGCATCTTCCTTGTGCTTTGTGCATTGCTGATACACCTGGTCTGTCTGCTTGCCTCCCAGGAGCCGTTTTAAAACGCAACTGCGCTAATATGGAGTTTACGACGTCAAGTTTCCCGATGCAATCGTGATCACGTGATGAGGTAACACAACCACCTACGCACTCCAACTGCTCGTACCTGGCAGCTGTAAGCTTTCATTTGTGTTGTCCAGCTGGTAGAGGTAGAGCGCTGGGCTGCAAATGACGGGGCTTGGGTTATTCCCTTTGCAGGACGTGCCATGTTCCTCTCTTATAATTAATAATTAACCATTCGTATTTGCACGAGACGTGGGCACGTCCTCCGAACCAGAAGCTTTTTACCCCCGCCTTCCCAGTTGCGCACACATATAATACGTGGCAGTTAATAACTATCACAATGATCACTTAGTCATTAATTTATGCCGTCATGGTAACGCAACGTTAGACCTGTGTCATGGCACCGAGCCCCGTAACACATTCTTCGTTAAAGACCGACCAACGAAACCATTTTCCGCAAGGTAGGAAAATGCCCCTCGCGCCCTCCTCTTTTCACTCTCTCCCCAAAATCACGTGACGGCGGGGGCTTCTTTTGTGTCGGCTTTTTCTGTAGGGATAATCCTCAAAAAGCGCGAAATGAGCGGCTAGCTGCGAGCGCCACAACGACCTTGAGACGTCCAGGTGCTTTCCCTCCTTGACGCGGGGCGCGGGCACGCTCAATCCGCGAGATTGAGGAAGCCAGCGCGACCGAACGGTTTTTTCCCATGAGCTGCAGGTCCGAGGCCGCTCGCTCGGTGGAGATCGAGGGGACGTGGCATGGCTGGGTTCTTTCCAGCAGCCGCTTTCTGGCATCGCGCGGCTGATGGAACCGTGTCTGCAGAAGGATTGGCTTGCGCAATAAACGGTTCAGGTCGTTGAAAATACATTTATTTCCGAAACTTATAAATCAAGTTGCTTTCCCTAATCTGTTTATTACTATTTGAAACACAT